CTGTTGGCTTAGTGGTAGCATTATTGGGCTGCTAACCAAAAGATTAGCAGTTCGAAATCACCAGTCGTTCTGTGAGAGAAAGATGGGAAGCTTCCTCCTATAAAGAATTACAGCCTTGGAACCCAATGAAGGGCCCCTGTGAGAAAGCACTGACTCGACAGCCGTGGGAGGGGAAAGTACATGTTAAGTGCACAGTTTGATCAGTTTTGACAAATGAACACAGCTTAATGGAGCTATAACAAGTTCCCATCACCCTAGAAAGTTCCTAGTCAATTCCCATCCTCCAAACATCCACTGTTGTGATTTCTACCACCACACGTTGTTTTGTCTGTTTTGGAATTTGATGTAACTTAAATTACACAGCAAGTATGGTTTTGTGTCTAGCCTATGCAGTGCCTTGTTTCTGAGGCTCGTCATGCTGCTGCACCCATGCTGCTGTTGTGAGCTTCTGCGGTCAAGCTGTCCTTGTCGCGTCACGATCCCGTGTACAAGACAATCACATTGATGCTCAGGGTTTTCATTGCTGATTTTTTCAAAGCACTGCCAGGCTTTTCTTTCTAATTTGATTAGTCTGGAACATCTGCTGAGGCCTGTGCAGTGTCATTATTCACTCACTCATTGCTGAAGAGGAGGAAATGACTCAGTGTTGACCCTCCAGCGACTTTTCAGAGGTTGTAAGTCACATAGGGGGAGACTTTCCACCTTTCTCCTTCAGAGCAGCTGGTGGATCCAAACTGCCTGCCTTTGGGTTGGCAGCACAATTCCCTACCCACTAGGCTACCAGAGCTCTCTGTGCCTTCAGTTACAGATGAGCTGTGGTTCTGCGTGAGATGCACTGGCAAGGAAGTGAACTTAGGTCTTTGTGCAAGGCAAGAATTCAACCACTGAATCATTACTTCCTCCACTGTACTGACTGACTTTTCTATTGCTGAGTGGTATTCCATCGTGTGCATGTTTAACCATTTATTTGTGGATAGGCACCTCTGCTATTTCTAGATTTTGGCTATTGTATGTAAAACTAGCAAGAACATTTTTGTACAAGGCTCTTTGTGGACACTTTCCCATTTCTCTTGCATAAAGACAAAGAAGTGGAATTTCTTGTCCATAGAAGATACATGCTTAACTCTTTAATAAACTATAACAACATTCCAAAGTGGATGAATTTTATATTCCCACCAGCAAGATTTGAGAGTTCGAGTGGCTCCATAGGGAGCTCTGGTGGCTTAGTGGGTAAGAAGTTGTGTTGCCAATCCAAAGGCAGGCTGTTCAAATCCACCAGCTGCTCCATGGGAGAAACATGGACAATCTCCTGTCATGTGATTTACAGCCTCTTGAAAACCTGCTGAGTGTTTGATTTTGTTCAGCTATGAGTTGGTTCCAACTCGATGGCACATAACAACAGCTTCAGCAACAGCACCAACACCAACACCAATTCTTTCACTCCTTTTGTAGCATTTTCTATTGTTGATCTTAACAACTCTAGCCATTCTAGTATATGTAATGCAATCTAGTATATGTAATGGTATCTAAAACTTTGGGTATAATTGATTTCTCTAAATCAGTGTAGTTGGCAAAATTGTCAAAATGCTTACCATACATGTTTTACTAGTTATCCTTCTTTTTTTACAATAATAGTCTTATGCAGTATTTGTCCTTATGAGACTGAGTTAGTTCACCTAATATAATGCTTTCTCTCCAGCCTCTCCCAGGTTATGTAGGAGGATGGGTAGGGTTGAGACCACAGGGTTGTACAGTTTGGCAGGTGCAGGTAGGGTTGAAGTAAATGGGAAAGATCTAGCAGGGACTTGAAAAGATTGGATAATGATTGGCAAGGTCCAATGGTGATTGATTTTATCAAACATAATGCATGGGAATGATTGTATGAAGCACAATATGAATGAAGAATAGTGTGAAACACAATGTATATGGACTTTGTAAGCAAATCAATATGTTGTTGTTGTTGTTGTTAAGTGCCATCGAGTCGCTTGTGACTCATAGTGACCCTATGTACAACAGCCCTAAACTCTGCTCTGTCCTGTGCCAATCGCACTGTCTCTGACACACCCATCCCAATTATCCCAGTCACTGAATCAATCCACCTCATAGAGGGCCTTCCCCTCCTGCGCTGTCCCTTCACCCTCCCAAGCATGATGTCCCTCTCCAAGGACCGGTCCCTCCTTACAACATGTCCAAAGTATGTTAGACAAAGCCTCAGAATCCTTGCCTCCAGGGAGCCTCCCAGTTTAACCCTTTGCGGGATGAATTTGTTTGTTTTCCTAGCAGTCCATGTTACCCTCAATACTCTTCTCCAGTACCACAGCTCAAAGGCATCAATTCTCCTTCTATCCTCCCTCATCATTGTCCAACTCTCTGATGGATAACAAGTGATAGCAAAGACCACGGCCTGTATCAGACACACCTTAGTCTCCAGAGAGACACCACTGCTCTTCAATACTTTGGAGAGGTCCCTAACAGAAGACTTTCCCACGGCAATATGTCTTTTAATTTCCTGGCTACTGGTGCAGAGAGTGTTGACTGTGGAGCCAGCAAACTAAAGCTGTGAACAATCTCAATTTTTTCACCATCCATCCTGATACTGCCAATTGGTCCAGTGGTGAGAATCTTTGTCTTCTTGACATTGAGTCTCAATCCATATTGGAGGCTGCAGTCCTTGACCCTCTACAGCAGGTGCTTCAGGTCCTCTTCAGTTTCAGCAAGCATAGTGGTGTCATCTGCATAACACAGATTGTTGATGAATCTTCCACCAATCCTGACACCACATTTTTCATAGAGCCCAGCCTCCCAGATAATCTGTTCTGCATGCAAGTTGAAAAGGTATGGAGACAGGACACATCCCTGGCGTACGCCCTTCCCAGTTTTGAACCATGCAGTGTTTCCTTGCTCTGTTCTGACGACTGCCTCTTAGTCCAAGTATAGGTTTCGCATTAGCACGATCAAGTGTTCTGGGATTCCCATTCTTCTCAGAGTCAGCCACAGTTTGTTATGATCTACACAGTCAAACGCCTTTGCATAGTCAATGAAACACAGATAGACATTCCTCTGGTATTCCCTGCTTTCAGCTAAGATCCATCTAACATTAGCTATGATATCCCTTAAGGTCGGCAAATCAATATAAAATAAAAAAAATAAAAAAAAAGAAATAAAAAGAAAAATAACTTACAGGGTAACTTAACAGAAAATTAATAAAACTTCTCATCATGAAAAATAAAATAAAATAAAATGCATAATATACTATAATTCTATACCATTTCCCAACTTCCAAACCCCCTTCATGTACCTAATCTCATTTGATCCCCCAAACAATCCTGCCATTGGTTCTAATTTACTGGTGGAAAGAAAGAACAGAGATCTAAGTGCTCTTCCAAATCGTAATTCTTCTCTGCTGGCTTCTGTCCTCCACACCACCAGCAATTGGCCTCTAATTTGTAGCACTGATCTCACAGCCCTTAGTGTGAAATGCTTGATGGTGTCCTTACAGAGGAAAAGTTTAAAATCTCAGTACTGGAGTTAAACTGGTTATGGTACCATCCCAGCCCACTGGCCAATGTATGTAACTCTAGACACCCAAACTGCTCCGTTATGCTTGAAATTCTCTTTTCTGTGCTAGTGCCTGTACTCAACACTTTTTTGCAGGGGTTGGAGAGAAAAGATCTGATCTGGTTATCTAAACCCGTTAAGTCTGCTCTGACCCCCATCATTAGGTCAAATGCCAGCTCATTTCTGTTTCCCTGAAGATAGAAGTAATGTTTCTCTCCTCCATGGTGCTTTGCACTTAACAGAGCATTTTTGCACCAAGGCAATTTGTGCATATTTCTAATGTCTCCTTGTCTAGACTGTGATACTTCTAGGTGATAGTTGGGCCACATTCATCTCCGTCTCCTCAATACCACCTATGTGACATCCACTTCTGTCTCTTTATTTAGCATTGGGCCCGACTGTATTTATTTATGTTTGAAAACTTTGTCTTCATGGTTAGATGAGACACTTATTGGGAACAGGGATGGAAATAGCCCGGCTTCAGGGCTAACACCCACTAGCCATCTCTAAATATAATGGTAGAGTCTAGAACTCTTAATTGATCAATTGATCCATTGATCCATTCATCCATCCCCACCATAACGGATGCATCATCCACATATAACTTTAACACCATCCATTCTCTCGCCACCCATTCCTTCATCATCCACCTATAAATTCAACATTCAGCCTTGTATTCTTCTAACTACATTTGTTAAGCACCTTCTCCATGCTTTTCTCGGGCCCTGGGGATACAAAGCGTCGCACCTCGTCCCTCCTGCAGGAGCTCACACTTCAGTGCAGAGGGAGGTGCAGAAACACCATTACTCACTGAGTGAGAGCTTTCACAGGTCAGAAGGGGACGCTGGCCTGTTTCTGTGCCCCCTCTACTCTACTAGGGGATGAAGGGGCTCTGATGGCTCAGTGGTGAGGAGTTGGGCTGCCAATGAGAGGCACAGAGATTAAATCCACCCGCAGCTCTGCAGGAGAAAGATGGGCAATCTCCTCCTTTGCTTCTTACTGCCTCTGAAAACCTACTGGAGGGCCAGCTATGGGTCGGTTCTGACTTGGTGACACACAACAACCACCAGGGGGTAGTTGGCTCTGTGTCTGTACCTCAATTCACAAGTCTAATTTCCCAGGACCCCAAAAAGTTTCACTCAAGATTTTTTTTAAAAACATAATGTAATCATACTCCTCTTGTTCCCTGCACATCCCATCTAGCCCAGCAGGGCTCCTCCAGGAAGGGGCATACAGTTTTGGGGTGTGGGGAGTGTAGGTTGGTCTAGAATGATTGAATGTTGAAGTGCTGAAAATAGCAGTCCGCAGATGAGAACACTGAGGTCCAGAGAGAAGAAGAGAAGACAGGACTAGCCTGTCCACTCAGCGTCTGTGCACTGAGTATGTGGTCTCTTCTGCCTGGATGGTGGGAGCCCACCCTGTGTGTGTGGGGTTAGACATACCTGGCGTGAGCGATGGCCGCCACCCACTCGTCACAGTCCTTTGCATCCTCTGTCCTCAGCTCCAAGGCTTTCTGGTTCTCATGGGTGAAGTTAACCGTGAAATAATGCTGCACCAAGAAGAAGATATCTCTGATTAGCTAGAGCTGCCACCTGCTTTCAATCTAGCTGCTTTGCAAAGTGCTTGCTGCTGCTTCAGCTAGGCACAGATTCACTGTTTGTCATCATCAGGAGGCCTGTCTATTTAGCACTTCCCAACTCTCGATTAAGGCAGGCTTTGTACGATGTAACGGAACCTATGTTTAGGATATTGTAAGAAGGAAGTACAACCCACAAAGTCTTTTTGCTTGCAAATTGCAAAAAAGCCAGTTTTATACCATCAGCTAAATTGGAGGAAAGTCAGGAAGACACACTAAGAGGACAAGCCCCTTGGGAATTGAGTATCAATTCAATCCACCATGCATTGAACCCACTTCACTGACAATCTGTTAAGCACTCTTGTAGATCCTGGCGGGAGGGCAGTGAATCCTGTCATGATTCCATGAGAGCCGACCACAGCCACCTCCCACCTCTGCTGGGTCAGCTGGGGCCTCTGTCTTCTCTCAGCTTCCAGGGAAGTGAAAGAGCCAGACACCAGACACACATGTAATATTGTTATAGGCACTAAATACACAAGGCTCTTAGAACGATGTGTGGCATCTAATAAGCACTATGTAAATGTTTGCTGTAATGAATGCAGTGCAATCACTCCTGTAATGGAGGTAAAAAAAATCTGGTGGGGGTGGGGGCTGGGAGCATAGAGATGCCACAGATTTATCCCAGGGAGGCCACGGAGGGCTTCCAGAGAAGGGAGCTTTAGGCCTGGGTTTTATTTCCATTGCATGCAAGGTTAGGGGGCATAGCACAGAGGTCATGAGCACATGGCATGTTTAGGGGTGCAGAGTGGGTGACATACACAGTGCTGAAGGAACCCAGTGGCAAGTGTGCAGGGGTGAGACAGGGTAGGGGCCTGGCGGTGGCACCTGGTGAAAGGATGGCCTGGAAGAAGAGGGTTAAAGACACTTCCCAGGATTCTGGCTTGAGCATCTGGAGGGCTGGTGGCACCAGAGACTGGGTGGAGCACTGGCAGGATATGGGGCTGGCATTGCGGGTTGGGGTGGGACATGCAGACCGAGTCACATTGAGCCACATCAGTGGACGTTTACAGTTTCCTTGGCCCCTGCAAGCCAGGCTGCAGATAGGAGTAGGGCATCAGGCTTACAGTGGACAAGGGAAGTTGGGAGAGGGGTCATTTAGTGAGTGGACAGACAAGCAAAGTGCTGGAGTCCAGCCTGTGTGGCTCCTGGGTCTGGTCCTTAAGACACCAGGAGGAGAGGGGTGAAGGTGTATAGAGAGTTTCAATCTGTCCATTCAGAAGGCATCTGGGCAAGTCAGCCTCAGGGTGAGGCACTGTGCTAGAGAGGGCGCTGTCTCCTGTACCTTAGGTCCAGATGAAGCAAGCAGCAACACATGGTTTAAGATGTGAACTATTTTTAGTTTCTGCTGGCATTTACTGTATTTCTGTTAATTGTCAGTCTCAGTGGCAGCCGGAATGTGTGTATGTGTGTGTATGTATGCATGCGTGTTTGTGTGTGTATAAGGGAGATGCGACAGAGTCAAAGCCTCTCCCTTGTTTCCTAGGAAACAGATAGCTGGGGCTGTAGAATGAAATGTCAGCTGCAGCTTCAAATAACTGATTTCGGCAAGGCTCCAGTGGGTGCCCCCCCCATCTTTGAGAAGGAAGCAGGTTAAAAGCAGAGCTGCAGGTGGCTACCTTAGCACTTTCCCTTGTCTCTCTTGAGATGATGATGCTTGTGGACTGTGATCTCATTTATTTCTGTGCTAACCAAGTGGAAGGCAGCTCTGATGGCCTAGTGGGTAAGAAGCTGCACTGCCAACCCAAAGGCAAGCGATTTGAATCCACCCGCTGCTCTATGGGAGAAAGATAAGCAATTTCCTCCCATGTGATTTACAGCTTTGGAAAACCTGCTAGGGGGTCAGCCATAAGTAGGTTCTGAACCAACAGCTCATAATAACAACCACCACCAAGTAGGAGTTTAGTTGCTTGCTTGAGGCTACACAGCTGCCAAGCCAAGGAGCCAGGAGAATAAAGCTTCCTTGGGCACTTGCCCTACACAGACCCTGCGCTTGGCACTGGGATACAAGAGGACAGGCGGTCCTGATCTCAAGCAGCCTGTAATTGGGTGAGATTCAGGTTCTAACCCAGAAAGAAGACACTCTCCCTGCACACAAGGCTTTTCTAGGGCTAAGTGAGATCCCTTAAGGTTTCAAGGCCAAAGCTGGATGGGCTCATTTATAGCATCAAGCTGAGTACCCAGGGTAGAAATGGTCTCCTCCTGATGTGGGCTACTGGCTCAGGACGGGGTGGATGCTCTGAGCCTAGCCTGGCCCTTCTCTGAGCTGCAGGGAGTGGTGGCCCCTCCTGGCTAGCACAGGCTTCTTCCCAACAAGCCGTACTTTGTGGAGAAGCAAATGACTGTTTGCCAGATTGCTACTTGAAGCCCACCTGCAACTTTAGTTCCTGATGGAAATCTAGATGAGGATGGAATCCAGGGGATTTGCCAGGCCTGGACCTGGCCACCAGAAACCACTGAGTTCTGACTTGTGAGGACACTCAGATCTCCACTCTTTAAACCAGAACAGGGAGCCCGAGGCTGCAGAGAGCTCCGTGCTAATTAGCCAGAGGCATCGTCTGGCTCCTGCCGCTGGCCTCCTCCTTCTACTTGGCCTCCTGTGACCTCACCTCTAACCTCGTGGCCACAGCTCTAGGCTGGCTTGTGGCCTTTCTGAATCTTGCATCTGATGTCTTCTTTGGAGACAGTTTTGAGGCTCTGAGTGACCATGAGCTGGGAGTTGAGGTGAAGTGGAGCGAGTGTGGGAGCATTAGGGACAGGCATGATCCATAAGTGCCCATATTCCTCTCATAACAACCAGACTATTAGGGTGTGTGTGTGTGTGTGTGTGAGTGATGAATTCCCAGGGCACCTTTGGACAGAGACCAAAGAGTCTGCAGTCCTGGCCACTAGCAGAACCCAAGACAGAAATTTTGAACCAGTTTCCACCAAGTAGATGGAGAAAACATTGAAATTGTCAACAGTTTTTTCTTGCTTGGAGCACAGTCAACACCCTTGGTACCACTAACTCAGTCCCACAAGGACAAATATTGTATAAAACCATTATTGTAGAATCAGTATAAGGATCCAAAGTGGGGGGGAGGGTGGAAGCAGAGGGATGAGGACGTGCAGGGGAGGAACGGATTAATCATGGAGCTGTACAATTTGATGGGTGTGGAGTGAGGGAAATTAGAATATTCTGTTCTGGAAAACAATGTATTTGAATTTTATAAATAAACTAGTATAATTAAAAACAAAAACCACACCCTTGGTATAAGCAGTCAGGAAATCAGGAGATGTATTGCATGGGGCAAAACCTGTATCAAGGACCTCTCCAAATTACTGAAGAGCAATGTTGTCAGTTTGAAGACTAAGGTGTGCCTGATTCAGACCATGGTCTTTTCAGTCATGTGTTATGTATCTGAGAGCTGGACAATGAATAAGGATGACAGGAGAAAAATTGATGACCCTGATTTGTGACTTTGGAGAAGAGTACTGAATACTCTTTAGACTTACAAAAAAGCCAACAGATACATCTTAGAGAAAGTGCAACCAGAGTGCTCCTTAGAGGCAAAGATGACAAAGCTTTGTCTCACATACTTTGGGCATATTACTGTTGTTGTTGTTGTTATGTGCCGTCGAGTCGCCTGCGACTCATAGCGACCCTATGTACAACAGCCCTAAACTCTGCTCTGTCCTGTGCCAATCG